TTTGTCATTATAAACCCTTTATCATGAAGAGAACATAAGCCGCGTACACTTACCCTTCAAAGCAATTCTAATGGTTCCCTTACTCCAGCTCGACCCACGAAAGTCGGAGTACTGAATCGGTTACTTCCAGTTGCAGAATAAAGTTGGGAGGGGTTTGCTTTTGGCCACTGTAGAATATGACATGTGACGTAAGATATGTAAGGTTTGAAGTTTCGTAAACACCAACACCCTGACTGAAAAGTAATGGTTACATCTGAAGTAATACGTGTAAATATAACTGTTCAAAGGGAAACAACTTTAACATAGCCTAATTCAGTTACACATTACCTTACGAGGTATAACAGGAGCAGCACGGTACGTATCAAATGAAACCATCCACGAAGATCTCAACATACCCTTCATAACGGATGAGATCAAAAAACAACACAACAAATACCAAAACCGGATTACAGGCCATGAGAACCAGCTAATCGATGAATTATCGAACAGACACGCTAATGCAAGAAGATTGAAGAAAAAATGGCCAGAAGACTTAAGGAATTAAAAGGATGAGAACTGCCGCTGGGCAGTTAACACATTTACTTGTTACTTCCTTTACGGTTAAGCAGATTGTAAATTGGCAAAAATAATAATAATAAAACGAATTATGATTAATCATAAGCTGGTACGAGATTCACCTGGCTCAGAATAGGAACTAGTGGAAGGCTTTGCGAACACGGTAATGAACCTCCGGGTTCCATAAAATGTTGGAAAATTGTTGAGTAGTTAGTGGTAGCTTCTGAAGAAAACCTCGGTTCTGTGGAGTGAGTCAAATTAGCATCAGGAGGCGTGAAATTTAAGAGTACCAAATGCACCATCGAGAAGATTACCGACGAACCAAGTGACGGAGAAAGTTCTCGGAAATATTCGTACGGATTCTCATATCAGATATTTCAACACTAATATTTATAATGTTATCCTTTTAACAAAAAATATATAATTATTGCTTTCTTCATTATATTCAAAGTTACTGATGTGTTGGAATTTT